AGTGGTGAGTATATATAGACGTTTGTCTTAATTTTATGAGATATACGGTGGTGAGTATATATAAACGTTTGTCTTAATTTTATGAGATATACGGTGGTGAGTATATGTAGTCGATTGTCTTAATCTATGAGATGTATCTTGTATGTTCGTACCTTTTTTTTACCTGTATGCGTTAAATCTTCGTATATTTATTTCACTTGTATAGATAAAATATAAATACGTTCATTTTAATTGCATGAGTCAGATCTTCGTATGTTTATCTCACTTGTATAGATAAAATATAAATACGTCTATTTTGATTGTATGAAAAGAACCTTGATACGTTACACTTATTTGTATATGTGTTACACCTTCCGTACGTTTATATTTTCTGTGTATGCGTTGGGGGTGAGTACAGTCTTTGTCCACCCCTTTCCCGCGTGGGCTCTGCTCATACGTCTCTGAAGTGTCTGTGCTGTTGTCACTTCAACAGTCAGCTGTCGGTTATAACTTGTAAACTACCTGCTCTCCTGGTTGGTTTATATCATCCTTCTGGCCGATTATTTGTTGTTTGTTTATTTATTTATTTGTTTGTTATTTAATTGTTGTTCATTTATTTGTTTAATTATTTATTTGTTTATTTGTTTGCAAGTTTGGTCATGCTATCATACTGAGTCGTGGTTAGTTGTGTTCTGTTTGTGTAACATGGTTGTACTCTCACCCGTTTTCTCAGGTGCGACACTTGTAGCGTTTGCCTCGGACATGACAGAGCTGTGCATGGCATCCGTTGCCAAGGGGTCTATCGCGCACATCTCATTGGTTGCTACGGTGCTCCGGGTGGTACACAGCCAATCAGACTTCTTCGATAGTTTCTATGCGGCCACTGAACACAGCATGACTCACGTGGATATAGTCGAGGCTGCATTCGTCCTGTTCGACTCATGTGAGCCAGGTGTGTCTTGTGTGTACATGTGTTCTCATGGAATGTCAATGGTGTATAGCTATACGCTGGGGTAATTCATACTGTTATACATGCACGCATATATGAATATATACACGCGTATATGATATATATATATATATATTGCGATCGGCCTAGGGGCCGTAGGTGCCGTAGTGCCGAGCTTTCATATTAGAATATCTTGACACGTGTCATTGTTTGAATTCTGTGAACCAAATTATTATACTGACAAATTATCAACTATATAGATCTGGGCCCAGAATTACAGTCTAGTCTTTCACCAACATATTGTTATACTACTATTACAACAAGTGTGTGACTAACTAGCCGTGAATTCCTTATCTCACAATATATATATATATATATATAATATATATGTGTGTATATATATACATGTCCTCTGACTTCTACGCTGCTACTTATCACCTACCACTCCAGAGCGTCTAAGTTAAGCTATGTGTTCGTTGTGCTTGCTAGTCTTCCTGATACTTGTTACTCACATACTTTGTCCTGTCCTCAGGTGCTGGTGTTGATGCGGCTGAGTGGTACGAGTGTGTGGTGTCATTGACACTGTCTGCAATGTACGTCTCAACGGAAAGGCGCGTCGACTATCTTCTGTGGGCCAGGCTCATGTCACACGGTATGTGCGTGTGTGTGCACGTGCTTGTGCATGTGTATATTTATATGTATATGTATGTGTATCTGTTTATGCATGTGCATGTACATGTGTATTTGTATGTATGTATATGTGAATGTGAATGTGAATGTGTATGTGTATGTGTTTGCATAGGTATGTATATGTGAATGTGTATGTGAATGTGAATGTGTATGTGAATGTGTATGTGTTTGTGTATGTGTTTGTGTATATGCATGTGTATGTGTATGTGTTTGTGTATGTGTATGTATATTTTTATTCATATGCCTTGGCTCGCAATTATGAACATGCTACTGGCGACGAAAGTAACGTAAGCGAAGCTCAACATGACACACCCCCTCCAGGGCTATGTATAAACTCTAAACCCTAAAACCCTAAAACCCTAATACCCCTATAGCAATCCACTCACCACTAACCCTGACAGGGGACTACATATATCCCCTCAACGGCAACACCTAACATACCTTTAACGAATCATGAGCCTCAACGTGACGCTGAACACACAGGCTCAGTTTTGTACACATACACACTTACCACTCACATCCTCATCACATACATTCACACTTACTACCCACACCCTCACCATAGACATACACACTTACTACCCACACCTTCATCACAGACATACACACTTACTACCCACACCCTCATCACAGACATACACACTTACTACCCTCACCCTCATCACAGACATACACACTTACTACCCACACCCTCATCACAGATATACACACCTACTGCCCACACCCTCATCTCTAGGAGCATCACATCTCAATGGGGAGACACCCGTTAAACCCCTACGATTACTCACACTTTCCTACACCCTTGCAATTACTCACACTTACCTACACCCTTTCAATTACTCGCACTTACCCACAACCTTTCAATTACTCACACTTACCTACACCCATTAAAATACTCACTTACCTATCACACTTACCTACACCCTTTCAATTACTCACACTTACCTACACCCATTAAATTACTCACACTTACCTACACCCTTCAAATTACTCACACTCACCTACACCCTTTCAATTACTCACACTTACCCACACCCATTAAATTACTCACACTTACCTACATCCATTCAAATACTCACTTACCTACACCCTTTCAATTATTCACACTTACCTACACCAATCCAATTGCTCACACTTACCTACACTAATTCAATTACTCACACTTACCTACACCCTTTCAATTATTCACACTTACCTACACCCTTCAATTACTCACACTCACCTACACCCTTTCAATTACTCACACTTACCTACACCCTTCAAATTACTCACACTCACCTACACCCTTTCAATTACTCACACTTACCCACACCCTTTCAATTACTCACACTTACCTACACCCTTTCAATTGCTCACACTTATCTAAACCCTCCACCCCTCAGCTGATCATGAAGACGTACCCAAAAAGCAGCAGATGCGTTTGGCCATGGCCAATGAACTGACCCAACGACTGACCAATGGCGAGAGCAAAGTGTCGTACTGGCGATCGCAGACAATGGAAAGCTTTGCCATCAAGACAGCCCTGGGTGTGTGCGGATGCAGTGTGTGTGTGTATATGATACATGTATATGCAGTGTGTATGTGTATGTTGTTCATGGATGTATGTATAAACGTAGCCTTGGGTGTATGCATATGTAGTGTATATGTGTATATGATCCATGGCTTATGTATAGGCACAGCCCTGTATGTGTGCATATGTATCACTATACTTTTCTTGATACATACGCAGATACATACGTCCACATGCACCTTCGCATTGGTGGGTGTATTCTGTTGGTTGTTGTGGTTGTGGTTGTGGTGTGTAGTGGTCTCCTGTCGTACCTGGATGTCTGGCATTCACTGTGTGAGAGTATTATCTCAGTAGGACACTAACGATAGCCGTACTGAAACCAGGCATAAATGGCCATGCCCATCACAGTACATATATACCATCCGCGTATTTCATCACTAATAACCGTACTTGATCACTAATAAACGTACTGACCCTGTCCTTGTTCTCCATTTCGTAGTTCTGGGTGATCCTTTATTGGACGACGGGACGTTTGCGCTGTACAAAGCCGTCATCGCCGTGTACCAAGATGGTAAGAGGGTGTTCTATTTTTAGAAGTATGGTAGGAGGGTGTTCTATTTTTAGAAGTATGGTAGGAGGTTGTTCTATTTTTAGAAGGTTGATACAAGGGAGTTATATTTTTTAAAGGATAGTAGGAGGCTGTTCTATTTTTAAATGATGGCAATAGGGTATTCTATGTGAAGAAGGATGGCAAGAGGGTGTTTTGTTTTTATGGATGTATATGCATGTGAGTGTGTTTTGTGAGTGTTGTGTGTATGCATGTGAGTGTGTTGTGTGAGTGTGCGTGTGTATGCATATGAGTGTGTTTTGCGAGTGTGTTGTGTATATGCCTGTGTGTACCTCATATACACCTGATCGTATGTATCGTAGGTAGACCAGGGTCTTTAAACCCCATGCCATCCGTAATTATCTCTACGGCACTTATGCAGGCCACAACCTAATGCAAGCTCTCATAGCCCATACTTGTTGACCTGTTTACCTTTTTTTACGGTTTTAGAGTTTATTTGGACCTGTTTATAATGCTAACACTCATAACCCGTACTTGTTGACCTGTTTACCTGTTATAGGGTTTCGGGGTTTATGACCTGTTTACCTATTTTAGGGTTTTTAAGGGTTATGTTGATCTGTTTATGTTTATATGTTTAATTTGGTCGTGCGTCAATACACTCAGGCGATTATGTGGGGGCCATTGTGAACACTGAAACACTCGACAATCTGCTCAAAAGCTGTCTGAAAGGACTGCAGAAGGAGCACGACGCCTTACTGGAGGTAAGTCACCAATCAAATACCTTGAAACAAGCCGCGTGTCCACGAGCAACCTAGAGTTAGAATATATTTATATATTTATATTTCTTATATAATTTATATATATATATATATATATATATAAATATGTATGTAAATATGTATGTATACATATATAAATATATATATGTATATATATATATATATATATATATATATGTATATATATATATATATATATATGTATATATATATATATATGTAGTGGGACCTCTAGAGTCGACCGCAGG